AGTGTGTAGGGTTTCCTCTCAAAGTCAAACTAGGCCCCTAAGGTGTGGTAGGAATTTTAAGGAGGAACCCCACCTCCAAAAATGGGGGGGTAACGTGGGGTCCCCCATAAAATTCCATACCAGACCCTTGATCCGAGCACAGGCCTGGCAGGGCACGAAAGGGGGGACGACGAGTGAGCACCCCCCCTCCCTGCCATACCAGGCCACATGCCAGCGGCATTGGGAGGGTGCTTTTCCAGGGTCGGCTCTTAAAAAGCACCTTGTCCCGGTGCCGATGGGGACAAGGGCCTCTTCCCCACAAGCCCTGGGTCGTTGGTTGTTGGGGTGCGGGCAGGGGGCTTATTCACATCAGGGTACCCCTTTAATAAAGCCCCCCTTTTGAATGAGTAAGGGGTATAGTGCCCCAACCCATTCACTAAAGGGTTAAATTCAAGTTTTAAAAAAGAGGCCAGACTTTTGAAAAAAAACCTTTAATTGAAAAAAAAAACCAAAAGGCAAGTCTTTTATTTAAAAAAAAAACAAAAAAAACAAACAAACAAAACAAAAACAACAAAAAAAAACTTGATGATTTTCCCCAATCATGGCTCTTACAGTACTGTGCCCTGATTGGGCAAAGTCTTGCACCTGACCCCAGGTGTGAACAGGGACTTAGGCCACTTCTCACATGTAACACTCCTTATGCCAACCCTAAACCTTACCTCACATTTACATTAAAGTATGTTTAATAGCAAATTTTGGGGGGATAGAGTGGTGAAGTGCTGAAAGCCTGTCAGATGTTATTGTTGTCTGTGTCCCCATTGAGAAGAGTCACCCTCTCTATTTGTCGTCATAACCATTGTAACTAGGACTGCAAATTAAAGAAAACCTAAAATGTTACAGCTGTCATTGTTATGAGAAAAGAGGGAAAAACTTCCAATGGAGACACCTGTACATGTGACAACTGTGTAAGAAAGGCATTCCCCTCACTTTTGAGAGGTTTCCTCTCACTTTCTGTTACTGGGACAAGGGAAATCCCAACAGCACAAAGTTTTAATTAGGGATGCACCGATACCGATAGTAGTATCGGTACCGATACCGAGTATTTGGGTGAGTACTCGTATTCGCCCAAATGCTTTGATACTTACCTTTGATACTTACCTCCGATACCGGACATTCCGGTCAGAGGGAGATCTCCCTCTGACCGGCAGTGCAGAGGGAGCATGCCCTGTGACATAATCACATGGGCTGCCTAGGTCTTTACTCTGCTGAAGTCAGGGTAAGAGATTGAAAACGAGCTGTAATCTGCCAAAAAGAAGCTCATGTACTTTTTCCAGCGACAGGCATTTTGCGACAAAATGCTCAGGTGTATACAGGGGCCATAAGAATGAATGGGATTTTTTGGGTGAATCATTTTGTTGCGCTTATTCAGCTGCGACAATATACTTAGTGAGAACCAGGCCTCATATGTTTGTTATGTGTTCCTATTCACACAGCATAGCAAAAAATTATTTTAAAATATTTTTCACCTTTCTAGTTGTATCTTTGGAGCAGGATTATACACAGGGCAAGCAGCTTGCATTTTTAGACACTTAAGGGTTCTTTTATACGAGTTAGAGGAAATTCCTATACTCATCAGCACCATCTAGGGGCGCTAGTGCACTGCAAACAGCATCCTCTGTGGATAGAACTTTTTTTAAATGAACCCCTAAGGGACAGTTTCTTTTAGAAGTGCAGTAACATACAATGTACTGCCCAGGCATGATATCCTTCTGTAAGGATAGAGTGTGCAGATAACGCATAATAACATCTGCCAGTACAATACAGACAGGGTTAGTTATGTTAAACCCTCTTCAAGCCCTCCTTAACAGTGCGACAAGGGGAAAGCAAAGCAAGATTTCTATAGGATTTTCCAGCAATTAAAAAGGTAAGCAGCAATTTTTAAATTTTTTTGTAAAGCTATCCTATGTGAATAGGAACATGTAACAAAAAATAAAGTAGGTCTTATTCCAATTTGGCTGCAAAACTGGAAATGCAGCTGCTTTGGAGCACTTATTAAATTGTAGTAAGGTTTCAGCCCTTTGGCTTATTTTGAGGATTAGGTTATATAGTCTATGTACATTCAGTTCAGAGTTTTTTGGGAATTTGTAATTACGTAATGATTACTTTTTCTTTTTTTAATTACCCTTAAAATTATTTTGGCTGGTTTGGTACTTACATTTGCAGAGAAGCCATTAAAAAATGCATACCAGACATTGTGGAAAAGACAGGCAAATGTCTTGTAGTGGTAATACTGCAAGAACTTTGAAAAACGGATATACGATAAACGTCCATGGAAAAATAACAGATTTTGGAGGTGAGAAAACTGAGCCACTGCGAAGTCACTGGCAAGGACTGCTTGGAGACCTTCCTTCCCAACCACACCAACACCAATGTGAGCAGCTGCAAAACAAACACAAAAAAAATTATTTTACAATAGTGACTGAGACTTTGTCATTACAAGCAGCCGTGACAATATGAAACATGTAGTAACCCAGAGCAATCAGATTTTGCCTTACCATCAAGTAGGACTGGTAAAAATAATGAAGGATGAGATCTGATCGAATGATTGAAATTACTTTGCACTACACAGCAATCATAAAAAGAAGACACGGCACCTGGGGCTTAAAGCTCTAAACCTTGTTAACCTACATCAAGACCAGAAAAGGAACATGATAACAGGCAGAAAAAAACGTTTAGTCCTAACCACTGTCAAGTGTTCTTCCTGAAAATCAACTGTCCATCACCGTGTTTCTTTAGTGAGGATCATTTACATTTTAAGGATTTCACACAATATGGTTGTTTGAAGTCCCTTATTCTTCTACTGCAACGGAATTCTGTATAATGGGCATATTGGCATTGAACTGTTAAGCTAGCCGTTCACGCCTGGGATTTTGACAGATTTCTGCTTAAACTGGCCAGAATTAATGGAAAACTCCACAAATGTGGGTTTAAAATTTGAAGGAGCCAGGTGGAAAATTGTCAGCTGGATAGTAGGGATGTTCAGATACCAGTGCCGAAACTTGGCATTATCACAAGAACTACCAGGGTCATAGCAGTTTCAGCTGAGACTTGGCCCTGGCGAACCACCACTGTCCTGAAATCATTAGCCTGTATTGTTTTAGAAAAACTGTCACATGACAGAAACTGTCACATTAACAAAAATGTATCAGTATCTGTAAGTACTTGGACAAGAATCAATACTTGCTCTTGGTCTGGAAAAAATGGTATTGGTGCATCCATAATATACATTTATATATAAAAGAAATCATACATTAAAACAGGAATGCACATATCCAAGGAGCCCTATATGCTCCTTAAAATTGACAGCGGCCTCCTAACTGAGTTTTTCTCTAGTCTAGTCTTGGAGCTTGAAAAGTATCACTACTTGTACTTGTACCGAGTACGGTACTTGGTATCTGAACATCCCTACTGAATAGTGACTGCCGCTTATCAGATGCAGTCACTGTTTGGGTATTCAGCTTGCCGTGGGTGTTGGCAGCTGTCTGCGTACAATAACTGACAGTGCTAAACAGCATGAATGGGGGAATTGAGTAATTTCTCTTGTTCAGCCCGTGGTGCTGAACTAGTGAACTCTAGCCTTACTATGCTTTGCAGTGTACTTTGCACAGTGGTTGCTGACTATTAGAATAAGGCTATAAGTGTATTTGTCAATCAAATTTATCATTTAACTGATTTATTGTATGAATCATGAAAAAGTTTCCCATGAAACTTTTTTTGCTAACATTAGCAGACCTGACTTGGTCATCTTGGCTTTTCAATGGCAATGAGAACCCTCTCTAAAACAGCTTAATATGAAAATGTTATACATGTACAAAAGAATTTGCAAAAAACCCAGCCAAAGAGCTTGTGCTAAGCTGACCATACACTGCTCTGATTTCGGCCAAGTCCTGCTGGCTTAGCTCAAATTCAAGCTTTGGGCGGCCTTGTTAGCACAATTACGTTCGAAAAAGGAAATGTCCATGTCACCAGTGAGATCTACACTCCAGCACACATAGTTCATACCTCATTATTCATGTCACTAATCAGATCTACACTCCAGCACACACAGATCACTCCCCATTATCCATGCCGCCTGTGAGATCTACAATCCAGCACGCACAGCTCACACTCCATTATCTATGCAACCAGTAAGAGGTACACTCCAGCACACACAGCTCACACCCCCTTATTTATGCAACAAGTGAGATCTAAACTCTGGCACACATAGCTCACTCCCTATTGTCCATTTCACCAGTGAGATCTACACTCCAGCACACACAGCTCACACTCCATTATCTATGCAACCAGTAAGATGTACACTCCAGCGTACACAGCTCACACCCCCTTATCTATGCAACAAGTGAGATCAACACTCCGGCACACAGTTCACTCCCCATTGTCCATGTCACCAGTGAGACCTACACTCTAGCACACACAGCTCACTCCCCATTATCCATGCAACAAGTGAGATCTACACTCCAGCGCACACAGCTCACTCCACATTATCTATGCAACCAATAAGATCTACACTCCAGCACACACAGCTCACTCCCTGTTATCCATGCCACCAATAAGATCTACACTCCAGCACACACAGCTCACTCCCCATTGTCCATGCCACCAGTGAAATCTACACTCCAGCACAAACAGCTCACTCCTCATTATTCATTTCACTAATGAGATCTACACTCCAGTACACAAAGATCACTCCCCATTATCCATGCTACCAGGGATATTTACATTGCAGAACAGACTGCCCAAACACCAAAACCATAACGCAAACAATGTGCCTCATCCCTCTATTTTAACATTCACTGCCTCATGCTGCTCTATTACATGCAATTCCTTGTGCCTTTTTGTTATACGCAATTCTTCATGCCTCTTTATTACCTGCTTTCCTGCATATCTCTCTCTATAAACAGCATCTTTTACCTGTCTTATGCCCAATTTTTCTTCATATCAGCCCTGTGTAATCGCAGAACTCAGAGTAGGACAGAAGAGGTCAACACACACACACACAATTTTCTCTTACTCTTTAGCATGTTGACATCATTTCCCCCATCTCCAATGGCAAGAGTGGTGACCTTCTTGTTCGTTTTCACCAACTGCACAATGCTGGCTTTTTGTTTGGGTGTCATTCTACAGCAAATAACTGACTGATATTGACAAGCCATCTCAACCAAATTTCTTGTTCTTTGGCTGATTTTATTATCTGTTTCCCTCTTTCTCCTCAGAGACATAATCATTTTCTTCCATACAGAAGTTTCTTCAGTCTGGTTTTCATATGAAGTCATAAAATCACTCTGGAAGATATTTCCATGCATAATGAGCTATAGTATATTTAACACTAATATTATGTTATCTCAATTTAAAAACATAACTGTTACAATTTCTTCATAAATAACCACATACAGAAGAATGCAACATTGCCAATTTGGTAGGCTTACATAGGCTATTACCAAAAATTATATACAGTAGCAATAATACACCTGGGCACCAGTGGGCATACTAAGGACACCATGCAAAAAATGCAAAATTATAGCTGCCCACCTAATCCATTTAGGATAAAAGAGGTGCTTGTGGGCGCCAGCTATAGTCTTTATTGGGTGGAAATAATAGGCTGCTTTCTTGACAAAATGGCGATATCATAGCATTCTATGTGTATGTAAACAGAAAAGAAATGTGAGCACTCCACTCCATCAGGAGCAGTTCCTGTGTCCAAAGGAATGTACTATACCATGGTAATCTTTATACAGTTGGAATGTTTATTAAAGGTTCCAGGAGAGCCAACATGTTTCTGGGGTCTGTATCCTTCCTCTTCATCAGGGCTAATAACATATTAGACCTTTATTATCAAATATGTAAAAGAAATACTTAAATATATTCATAAAAACATGCACACACATACTGTACATACAAACATCTAACTACATTTTAAAAACATTTTACTGATACATGAGCGTTGACTCTCCTGAAACCTTCAATAAACATTCCGACTGTATAAAGATTGATATGGCATAACACGTTCCTTTGGGCACAGGCAATGCCCCTCCTAAAGGTACAGTGCTCGCATTCCATTTGTTTCACCTCACCTAACTCATCTATTAGTCTCAATCTCCCTTTTTGCATACAAGGGAAGGGAGATGTCAGGTACATCAAAACATGTCACATCAGTTTAATATGAAGCTTCCTTCTGTAAAACACAATAGAGCTGATGCATTAATACTGGAGAAAAGAAAGGCAGCACAAAATTGGAGTTGCTGCTCATAATAAACAATAATAATTTGTGTTCTTTTCCATAAAATAAAAAGTGAACCCTTTCTGGATGTTAATGGCATGAGTTTCAGTTTTGCGCTCATTTTGTTTTCTACTAGTTTTATGAGTCAATCCCATTAAGTCAAACATGTTTATTTTTATAAAGTAAATCTCTTTAGACAGCACCATGGAAGATGCCATTGCTGACCTCCTCCTCAAACTGCTAGTTGACTGGCTATTAGGTTGATCAACTGGCTTTAGTTCTTTCCTGACCTATAACATATAACATGTATAGAACATGCACACCAGAAAGCTCAGAGTGAATTTGGAGGTCCTTGTATGCACATTTGTTCAGAGTTAGTGACAATGTATTTAAGACAGAATGACAGCATGATAGCCAGGTAACTGGCAGAACTTAGAAGTCAGGGATAGTAGCAATTATTTTTCTTTAGGGCCTATTCAAACCTATGTGTTGTGGTAATGTGTGGCAAAATGAATGGTTTGAAACACAAATATTCTGAATGGCACCCCAGTACACTGATACCAAACAACCCATCACATTCGATTTGCAGCACACGACATAGCAACCCAATACACCCCCCTTGCAGCACACCACAAGGCAACCCAGCAAACTCACATTGCAGCACACCACAAGGCAACCCAACACACTCACATTGCAGCAGAACACAAGGCAACCCAACGCACCCACCGCGCAGCACACCACAAGGCAAACCAAGACATCTGCTTTGCAGCGTACCAAAATGCAAATCCAACACACCCACCTTGCAGCACACCACAAGGCAACAAAAGGAATCCACTTTGCAGCATGCCACAAATCAACTCAACATACTTACTGCGCAGCATACCACAAGGCAACCCAACACATCCACTTTGCAGTTTACCACAAGGCATTTTAATAATTGATAATTTTAGAGATTTTATGTATGTGAGCAGCCTAAAAAATGTTACCTGACGACTGTGTCTCCATAAAGAAGAACTCCAGCAAAAATTTGAATTAACCCTTGGAATGGGGCTACCCCAGCACTGCAAGAGTTAACAGCTTGTTTCTGTCTAGGTTAAAAAAAAGTTATACTCACCTGAACAGCAAAGCTGGCTTGTTCTTAGACCGGTCCTTCCAGCACTTCTCCCCCTCCTCTGCAGTGGTCTAAGGTCCTATATATCATCACATTCTATACACTGTGTATAGACGTGAGGATGCTTGGGAACATTTCCCATGCTGCAGTGTGGGAGGAGACAGGCTGAAGGGAGCGATGTGACAGTTGGCTGGCTCGGAGCTTCGGGTAAGTATAAGGCCTGGTTCACACCTAGGCGTATTGCATATGCGCAGTTGTCGTGCGTTTTTTTTACCGCGACTCGCGGTAAAAAAATCGTGCGACTGACGCGCGTTTCCGAGGGATACTTGGCTGTATCCCAATGGAAACGCGCAACAAACACGGCCCAAAGTAGTACATGTACCTTTTCAGGCATGGGCCGCTTTGTAGCGCGTTAGGGACGGGCTGAAATACGCCAAGGTGTGAACCAGACCCATTGAATACAATGGGATTGAGATGTTTGAACGTTTTGTAGAGCGTTCGTTGAGCGTAGAACGCGCTACAAAACGTTCAGGTGTGAACAAGGCCTTACTGTTATCTTTGATCCTAGAGAAAAATGAACACTTAACCCTCGCAGTGTGGGGGTAGCCCCACTGCAAGGGTTGGGAAAATCTTTTCCTGGAGTTCTTCATTAATGCTTTTTTTAGTACTCTGAAAGTGGAAAGTACCATCTAGAATGAAAGAAACGCAAAGCAAAGTAGGAGGAAGGGTAAGGATAATTGAAAAGAGTATGGTCACCAAATAAACTTCCAAATCTATTTCTGCAAATATTAAATACAGATAAAAAAGTAGATAACCTTACCAAAAAGTCTCCTGTGACAACTAATGCTTTGTTGCTACTTAGTTCTCCTATTTGGGACTCTCCTGTCAAATTGTTCTCTGTACTCTGTAGGCCGTTTTCCAGCAAGTACCTAAATAATGACAATATTGGGGTTTAGTGCAGGGATATACATACAGGATAATAGAATATAGGAGAGACATAAGGCACAGATGAATTGGATGGCAAAATATCAAGGCAACAGAGGCAGAGAACAATTGAAGGGATTTCAATTCTAACACCAGTACAAGGGACACAGTGGTAAAAAGAGATGCATACAAGTCCTGGGTACAGCATTGGTGGGAAAGCAGATCAAATGGGCAATTGCTCAGTGTGCCTCCCCAAACGCCAGCCTCGCTGCCACCACTAAAGCATCCCTGGCAGTATAATAGTTCATTCTAACCCCTGTCCCTTTTTCCAAACAGCTTGAACTCTCTGTATATGTTGGGATTTAAAACTGAACACAGGGATAAGTATATATTTTCTAAATACAAAAGGCATGTGTATTCTTCTGTAAATCTTTGCATGCTTCGTGTATTTCTTCTAGATGTGAGCAGTAATCCAGTGCAAAACCTTGCCAAATTGAAGGAGCTTCCTGTAATGTTCTTTTTCATTGTGCAGGGTGACTGGTCTTCTGTAGTTTCTTGCAGGCTGCCTGTAGTGGGAGGACCTGCTGGGTCCCTCCTACAGCTCTGCTCTCTGTATAGGCTATGTGCAGAACAGTGATGATGTTACAACTACATTTACAAGGTCATAACTGGGTTTGGTGCACACAGAGTGGATTGAAATTCTTTGTGACTTTTATTCATTTACATGAAAGTCTTTGTGGCTAGAGTACAGCTTCAAGGTTTTGGGGAAAGCCGTGGGTTAAGGTAAGGTTAGAGGGGACCTAGCTTTAACATATTATGTCATGTTAAGTAATGTGTAAGTGCCACAATTCCATGTATTTATTACCTCCCACAGAGATTACAGTGTTCTTTTTAACAATGTCTTCATAATCCTTTCTCTTCAGAAGGATGGCATTTTCGGGAGCCTGTATTTACACCCTAGACTGACATCCTGCCTCAGAAGTAATGTGAATTTTGGAGCTTGTGTAGTTTTTGTTAAAAAAAATATCTGAAACAGATTTGTCTTGCTACAGCCCCTCACCTTCTGACTTGCTACAATGTTACAATGTTGCAGTCTGATCACTAGGGCAAAAGAGATCTAGGTGCTTCCTCTTGCCTGCAGCAGATTGATGGCATTATCTCAGCTAAGGCAAAACCAATTCAAACCATTTTATATTAATATTAATCCTAATCAGCCATAACCCCTTCATTTCTTCTTGCCTTGGCTATTATTTTGCAGTTTGATTGTTTTTTTTTATTTTATTTCTATATTTTTTTTACCATAAATATTCAAACAAGTGCAGTGTGTTGCAGGAACGTGTGTTACCACAATTCGCATTAATTGCGAATTAATTAAGTGTATTAGAGCATTGTGATGCCACTCTTTGTCAATGCCACCCCACTGCATTAACCCAATGTCACTGGTTGCCAGAAGCTAGGCAGGCTGGCAAGAGCATCCCAGGTTGCTAAGAGCTAGAAGAGGAGATGTGTATCGCCTTTACACATCTCCCTGTCCATCTCTTAGCAACCTGGGGCACACTGGACGCAAAGGAGGCGGCAAGCAGGGCCCCCTGACCCAAAGTGATGCCACCTTAGGCAACAGCCTCATGCTCCTATATGGAGTCAGAGCCGTAGCTAGCTCATTTGGCGCCCGAGGCGAGAACAAAAAAATGGCCCCACATGCTCCCCCAACAGTGTGAAGCAAGTGCTTCAGTCGCCTCGCCATAGCTACAGCCCTGTTTGGAGTATACAGGTTTAAGAGCTGAAATGGATAAAGTCAAGGAAATATAAGTAGCAGTCTAGTGGCCAACAAGAGTATAGGCTCTTACTACTGATTACAACATATTGTAGGAAATTAAAGGTGATTTGTTTGTTTTACCTTATATCATTCTCTTCCACAATCTGCATGTCACTTGAAATAAGGTTACAGGAATATGCAATGTTCACTGCTGTCTCTGAAACATTACAAGGAATCTATTAAGATGAAATATGACTAAATATGACTAAACTATAATATCTACAAAATGTTGTTGCTTAGAAATGCACCTTGCTTAAAGAATAAAAAAAGTCAAAACAAGGAAATATCATTTAGTGTGTGGCTGCAGTTCAGAAATAGTTAAGTTGGGAAATTTGTAGAAATTATACCTTGTTTATCACCAGTCAGCATCCAAATCTTCATGTTTCCATTTCTCAAGAGCTGAATTGTCTGTGGGACTCCATTCTGCAATTTATCTTCAATGGCAGTAGCTCCAAGTAGCTGGCATATTGACATTTGTTAATTATATTTTTGTATTAATTTTTACAGGTCATATAGGTGCATAAGAAACATTTAATTACAGACAAGATACTTCATATATCTTTATCATTTCATATTTATTCCTAATTCAGTATGCACGGATACACTTTTTTGTCATCCCCCCAGGGATAAAGATGTAGCATACAAAAGTGTAAGAGTTTTTCATGATTGAAAAAAAGTGGTAACTCTTAAAAGCACAGCAAATGTTCAACTTGTTCAGAACCCGTACTTTAAAAAAAACAAAAAACGCTTTTGGCTTTGGCTTGGCTCCTTCCAAAAACTTGCGAATGTGTGACTGTTTTAGAATTAGTAGGTTTGTAGAGCCTCTGTCGCCAGAAAGGAAAGTGGGTGTGTAAAAGTTAGGTGCAAGAGAGGCGCTGTGAGGGGGGAGGGGGTTGGGGTGAATGGGGCAAAGTTTATTTGTGGGGGTGCTATAAGTGGGGAACAAGGCAGGTGGGAGGGAGATGCTGTAGGTAGGGGGAAAGGTGGGAGGCTGATGCTGTAAGGTGAGAGAAGATGTGGGTGGCGAGGGAGGAGAGGTGGGTGCTGTGACTTGAAGGAGAAGTGGAAAAAAGGAAAGTGCTGTGCCTAAGAGGAGAGGGGGTGGGCAGTGCTGTGACCATAGGGGGAAGGGACAAGCTGGGTGTGAGGTTGGTGCTGGGACTGGGGATGGAGGGGGGTGGGCAAAAAAATGCTGTGACCAGGGGCGATATGAGAGGAAGGGGGGTCATGTGACTGAGGTAAAAGGTGCTGAGACTGTGGGGCAAGATAGGAGGGGGGAGGTGATGTGCTCCATGGGCGAGGTTGAAGGATAGGGGGCATTGTGGGAGGGAGGGGGCACTGTGACTAAGGGTGAGTACTGAGGGGTGAAGTGGGAGGGGAGTGCAGTGAACAAGGATGGGTGAGGGGCACTGTGAAGGGTGACATGAGAAGGTGGGCAGGTTATATGACTGAGGGGCTAGATGGGTTGGAAGTAGGTGCTGTGACAATTTAGGGAAGTGTGTGAGAGGGTGGTGCTGGGGACACGTGGTGAGGAAGCCTGCGTGGTAAGGTGGGTAGAAGGGTGGGAACTATGACCTAGGGGGATGGTGGTAGGTGGGTGCTGTGACGGTGGGGTGAGGTGGATATGAGGTGGGCACTGTGACTGTGGGACAATATGGGTGGAAGGACATGACTGTGACTGGGGGGAGCAAGGTGGGTGAGAGGGGATGCTGTGACCTCAAAGCAAGGTGTGTGGAAAGAGTGCACTGTGGCTGGGGGAGGAAGAGCTAGGTGGTAGGATGGGGGGTGCTGATACTGGGGGTCAAGGTGGGTGCTGTGGGGGGGTTACTGGGGTGCCTGAGAGGGTGGCTGGTGGGAGGTGTAAGCGTTAACTTGGGGGCATGTGTGCTATAGTTAGGACCGGGGCTGGAGGAGCAGTGGAACAGTCTAGGTCACTTGCAGGTGAGCCAGGAGAATGTGCAGGGAAGCGGTATAGTAGGCAGGAACAGCCAGCTGTATTGTAAGTGTTCAGTGTAGGAATACGGCAGCTGTCACTGTGCAGGCAATGGTGAAATGTGGTCTGTGTGTAGTGTGTTCTAATAGTGTTTTGCCACTGGGGGACAGGACACAGTGTTAGGCGTTGTCTGTTTCTGTTCCTCCTTTGTTATGTGTGCCTCTGTTTCTGTTCCCCCAGTGGAAAAATGGAAGTAGGAAATTTTTGTAATATACCGGTAATTATGGAAAAGCCAATCTCCATGGCTAACAGCACAGTGCAAGGGAGCTTAAAAATAAAACTGCATACAAGCTAGTTGAAAATAGATTTAAGGTTAGCTTTGTGAACTGAGCATTAAGTAGTCGATGATCCACTTCAGTGCTGTAGCCAGGATGCAAAATGGAGGAGCAGGGGCTCCATCATGCCATCAACACCTTCGCCTGGTATTATGGCTTGATTCGCACAGGAGTTAATTCATCCTGGACCCAAGACATGCTGAGATTATACACTGAACTGCCCATGCACAGCTCAGTGTACATTCTAAAGAAGTTTGTGAGCAGCCTGTTGGCTCAAAAGGAGAATGCAAAATACCTTTATGTAATATTTCACATTTATGTGACAAAAAAAAGAAAAAATATTTTTTTAATTTTTTTAGTTTTATCATAAAGATAATTAAAGTATAGCATAATATTATGTAAAACCAGCCAATACATTGGACAACAATTTAAAAAAAACTGTTGCAATCCACCACTCCTGGACTACAGTGCTGGGCTTTCGGTGGTACAGGGTAGCTATGAGCCACTCCAACTACTGGACCTTTTCCAACATTATGAACTGTCATTTCAATCATAGTTCCATGTTGCATCAGAGCCTGCATATAATTTCAGTTACTTGCTGTTACCTGAAGATTATTTTCCATGTCTTCATACACTTCTCCAAGATGATCCTCACGATTCTGAAGTGTTATAGAGGCTTCATGGTGCTTTGCATCCCACATCCTGTACTCATGCTCTTCCACTTCTTTAAATGCCAGACAGAGTGTTCTCAGAGTCTCTTCTGAAAAGACCTAGGCAAACAAAATTGTAGCACTAATTAAATCACACATACATATTTATACAACAAATACAGAATATTCCTTGTCTCTGACACTTCCTTAAATAAAGCTCTCTGAATGGCTTCAACCCAAATGTACAATACTGTTACCCAGCTTAAAGAGAACCCTTGTCTTTTGATATACAGTATATCCATTAAAATGGTTAATACAAGTTGATAAAGCCCAACTCCAGTCAAAACTTTTGAAATTATTGTAAAGAGTGGAGAAGAGTAGCGATGAGCTGGGGCTTGTTCGCAAGCCCCTCGTGCCGAGCCCGCCAGGAAGCCGTCAGCGCGCAGGGCCAATCACAGGCACTGAGACATGTTCCCGGTCCGCAGCTGCAGAGATCGGAAAATGGCTCAGTGCCTGTGATTGGCCCTGCGCGCTGACGGCTTCCTGGCGGGCTCGGCACGAGCCGCTTGCGAACACGCCCGAGCTCATCACTAGAGAAGAGTATAGCTGGTCATATACTGGTACATTTTTGTACAAACGTTAATACGAAAAATCTGGCAAGAACATTCAATAATGTCATCAGAGAATAAATTGCATTTTCCATCCTGCTCCTTCAACTTTTTCCATTACTGTGGTCAAAATCGATCATCGATTTGCCCATCACCTATTAGACAGTCCAACAAACATTCTAAAAATGACTTTGTTTAAACAAAATTCTACTAGTATATGGCCAGCTTTAGATGTGTAAAGTTTTAGGATTAGGGTTATGTTGTCTGCGTCACTATTACGGAGACTTACCTTCAGTTCCTGTTCTATCTGACACCCATCAGCTGGACTGGAAGTAGGCAGATTTTTCTACAACAGGGGCACAGTCAACAGCAGTTGTGTCTTGAGGAATGGTAGGTCATGGGATGGTAGACCAGAGAATGCTATAGCTACACAGCCTAGGAACTGTAATACTTACATCCAAGGCATTCATAATGACCTCAGTGTCACAGTTGGGATGTAGGAGCTGTAAGATCACACAGTCTGCTCCTTTGGTGTAAAGTTTTATTTTCCCTTCTTCATTTCTTACTGTAGGAAAAACAAATTCATACAAATCCATGTAACATTAACTAATCTTTATAGGCAAGGCCTCAGCTGGAGCTCCATTAGGACATCTTTCATTCTAAGTATACCTTATAAACCAACGGAATCATTAAATAAATTATAACAGAACAGACTATAACATACTGTATATAACAAATATATTTCACTCTGATTCTGAACAGTCTTTTAATGTTTCATTCATTTTACAAATAAACTATCACTAGAAAGTGCCTAGCCACAGCACACTTTTCAGATGTACTGTCTTCTATTGGACTTGTTTCTAATGATTGTAAAATGTGCAGCCTCATACAAAGTATGGCATTGCAATAATAACTTCATCCTACTTATAGGCTATACTGTTATAAAGGTTATACTGTCAAGGGTGATGTCCTACATATTTTACATACACTTTAATGCTCAATCATTAAAAAATAAAATTTGTGTTACATTGCAGTAAACATTCCCCCCACTAGTGAACTGCTACAATGGTACAAAGCAGTGGTCGGGTAAAAGAAAACAGGCTGAGTTTCAAAGAGCTACTGATTATTTTAATGAATACTCCTTTCTTGCATTTAATTAAACTATGTTACATGTTTTTATGTCAACCAATATGACCTTAATGACCCCTACATGCCTACACCAGACCCGTAAAAGCATAGCCATTTTTTGGGACAAAAAGAAAAATTTGGCTGGTTCCATACCAAAACACCTACATGTTTGTGGTACTAATCAAAACTGACAGGGGCAGAGAGAATGACAAGATTAAGCCATATCGTGTATTGAAACAATTTAAACATTTAATCAAAAGGCAAGAAAACTAAGAAAACTAAGAAAACTGAGTATTAAAATAAAATAACTGCCAATTTTTGAGTAAGGTTTTATGGTCTTATCAAAGGGAGTTCAGTGACCACGGAAGTGGTTTTTGCAAATTTTACTAGCACTATGGATTAAAATAATTTATCTACATTTGCAGCATTAGAATTAGTTAGCTTTGCCTAATACAATGTCCCAAATTGTATAGTGACCGCGATAACAGAGGTGCAGCTTTTTGAAAGAGAAAACCCAACAACAGAAATATACTTTACAGCAATAAACATGCAAAGTCTTTACCTATTGAAGTTCATAAAAGTTTTACAAATGAGTAATGATAAAATATAAATAAGGTATATATCATAATATATAAAAAAAAAAGTAATTTGTGATGTTCCACAATCAGCTGG